TTGGACTTTGTGGCGCTGAAACTGAAATTGAAGTGCTAGTGATGATTTGAGAATTGCTTCTAATCTACCAAGAAAGAAGAAACAGACATGTCAAAAATAGTAATATCAGTTGGTCCCAGAGAACTCATACCAATAGAGAAGCAGGAGACTGAAAGTCAGATTGTATCTAATTTAAACTTAAATGAAAAAACAATACTCATAATCCAACTTTGTATGGCATACATGTATCACATAACACAACGAGATTGCTAAGCCTTCTGAAAGTTCCTAACTAAAAATGAAGCTTAGAACCACCGAAAAGCAAAAGCCTCCAATATCAGATCCCTACCAAAGTTCTCTAGAAGCATCTAGCTATTCTTTAACGTGTACTGTTCACTAACAAAATTTCTTTCAAATCCTATAGTAAATTAATAGGTTCAGTGACTGCAGAAATAGGTTTAAGTAAGATACATGCTAATATCTCACGACTCCTATCCCATGGTATGCGGACCGGAATAATTCTATCAGTCAATAATTTGCATTGAAAATGAGAGGACTATAGTCCCTCCCATTTAAGTACCTCCAGTTCGGCAATCTGTGGATTCTGCTTCTGTTCTAAAATTTGAGTTGATGGATAGGTTGACTGTGAATGTTTCTGATTTTCACAGACTTCCTGCTGAGATGGTTGAGAACTTTGCTGTGGTAGTTGACTTAACTGCAAAGGTAGTGGATCCAATTGCTGTGTGATGATAGGAGCTTCAGCTTCCTGGTTTCCAAACTGGGAAACAGCTTGTGGTTGGGAATTTGCAGAAATTGGTTGCATAGGAAATGAAACATTAGGCACTGGCCTGGAACAAATAAAACATAATATTGAGCATATTTGGAACACATATATACAAAGAGTTGATGACTAAGAGACCAGCATAGCTAATAGCTGGTTCTTGGGCATGGGGACCATGATTTGGACCACTGAATGCATTATTGCCTCTGTAAGATAGCAAGAGTTTAAGCAATTGAACTCTTAGTAGGCCTTCAACTGTCCTCCATGGTGTGGAGGAATTGAAAATCAATGATGTGGGAGTGTGCACACAATTCAGACAAATATGAAAGAACTAAAACTAAAAATTATTAGCAAGATCAACTGTTCTCCATGGTGTCTGTGCATACAGTTCAAGTAAAATTGCTGACAAACACTAAAGCTAAATTAGCAAAATCAACTATCTTCCATGTTGTGCATGCATGCACTTCAAGTAAAATTGCTGAAACCAAAACACAGTGTTTCTGCATGATTAACCCAATCATCATCCTACATGAAGATTCATTAGTTCCATTAATCATTTAGACAGTGAATGATCTTAAAATGGATCAACAAAAAGCATAGTGTGGTGACAAAAAAACTTATAAATTTCTTTTGTATTATAGTTTTCATTTATCCTGAATTTAAGTGCTAGTTAAAAGAAACAAAACCTTGGGTCTCCAGGTCGGGGTTTCTTAGGATCTGCAAATTTCACGATCAGTGGCTGCTCACAACCCTGAAGAGTCAAAGAAAGAAATGGAATTCTGTGACCATAAACAAATATCAGCTTAGATGTACAAAATCAAATAGAGAAAAGATTATTCTGATTTACTCTCATTGTGAAAATTCCATTCAGAGCTTTAATTGCTGCAACTGCCATTTCACGGCGAGAAAATTGGATAAACGCGCATCCTTGAAAAGAAAAAGAACTTAGCAACAGAAGCAAAAGGTTTGACATCAACATTATAAGTCCTCAGCATCACATCGTGGTCACTTGTGGAAAATATTTTTCATAATCTCCCTTTCTGAAAACCTTCTGAAAACAATTTCATCTTCTGTTTCCCTTGGAAAAAGTAGATGTTGTAGTTTTGTACTAAAGTGCTAAGACAGAATAAGAAATTTTCAGAAATGAAAAGTAAAAATATGCTTTAGAAAACAAAAAATATGAGAAACGAGAAAGGATGTTTCTCTGAGAGCTCTGAAAAGTAACACAAATTTCATTATTTTGAGAGAGTAGGTGTTCGGGATACATTGACAAACTATGCCTTTCTTTCACTTCTTCGATGAACATCTAGGAACAAGGGTTTAAAGTTCTAAAGTTTTCTCTTGGTGCTTTGCAAAGTTGGTAAATAAAGATAATTCAAATAGAATCCACAGGGAATGGGAGAAAGTCAAACAAGAGGTCAATTTGCAATCTGGAATCTTGAGGAAAAGACCAAAATACTCAATAAGCCCTTTACTATTCCAGATTGTTCAGATAAGTCTATAAATTTCATGTTCAATTAGGTCCTCAACTTTTAAATTCTTGATGTAGGACAAGTAATGGTAGAACCACAATCATCTTATAATATAAAGAAATAGCAAAAAAATACAGGAAAGAGAATATAATACTAGATAGAGGGAAATATGCGATTAAAACACAATTCAATATTTGTCTGACAATCATATGAATAGTTTACCAAATAACTAAGCTACGATTTTTTTAAAAAAAATAAAAATAACTAAGCTACGATACCCTCTCTATAGCAATAGGTCATCTTCTTTATTCTATGGAGGATTTTGGGGATCTTATGAATATTCAAATTGACATGTAAATATTTTTTTTACATAGGCTGCCACCCCTTAATGCTTGTGTATTAATAATAGATACCATACTTTTTATGTTAAAAATCAAAATAAGAAATTTTAAATCAATCTAGCAAATCTACTAAATAAGAAAATAAGCTAACTAATTGAACAACCTATAATATGAAATGACTAAGCATCTTAATTAAATAGGAAATAGCAAACTCATATTAAAATAAATACCTTAGCAATAATAAACATTACAACTAAATAAAAATCTTTTATTATTGAAATATGTTTACTTCAGAATTTTTTCATTCTGCATTATTCGTTTTTTTTAAATAAAAAGTATAAAATATATTGCTATAAGCACCAAGGGAGTGCAAACCATGTACAACAATTTACAAATCAGTCATCAGGAGACAAAAGTTTCTAATAGTCTCCATGACCACTAAAGAATGACCCGCCATCAAAAACTCCTAAGCCATCTATCTTTTAAAGCATCAAAACCTTTTGTATCATCTAAACCATCAAAAACCCTCCTGTTCCTTTCCTTCCACACTGTCCACAAAATGGTGAGAGAAATCATTTCAGCAAAACTACCTCTGATACTCAGATACTCCCACGCCCACAACTCATCCCTAACTGACCCTGCCGTCCCTCAGTTGATACCAAATGCGATATACACCAATGACTACAACTCAAATACAATAGGACATCATAACAGTAAATGGTTGCAGCTCTCTTCAGCCTTTTTGCAAACGCATTTACTAGAACATGTCCCCTCCTTAAGTTATCAATAGTTAGGATGTATTCTCTACTTGCCTCCCAAGCAAAAAAAGGAATCCTTGGAGGAACTTCAGCCTTCCAGATCTGTTTGTGGGGAAACATACCAGTCTCCACATCCGTCTTGACCAGCTTCTTAATTCATTCTGCATTAGGCTAACCCACTTAAACCTCAATCTCGAGTTTTAAAATGTTGAATAAAAAGAACATCAAAATTGGAATTTATTATCTTAATAAATAAATAAAGCTTCTAAAACTTGACATTGTCGTTAGAAAACAAAAATGCTTTCAAAATAATAGATTTTGAAGGAGCTAAAAAGCAAATAGGCATGACAAATCTACAAAGAGTCACCCAACTCTTTTTTAAAAAATAAAAATCACCGAATTGTTATTATTAATATTGGTTGCAAAAAACGTTTTTATTGTGATTTCTTCAAGTAGCACTTCTTTTGTATTCATAGAGTTTGAACCAACTAGAATATTCTTGTTTTCAACATAGGCAATGCTGTTACTCGCTACAAAATCAAAAATCCACTACTAGAAAACTATCTTGATCAATAGAAATAACAAAATCTTACACAATATTTTTTTTAAAAAAATAATCTCATACAATATCTTCAACTATCTCAAAATATCATTTGCTTCCATACTTTTCATATCATTAGCTAATTCTTTTATCATTAGATTGTAGGAATTTCATAAAATTTTGACTCACCAATTCGTTCTCCCTTTCCATTCTTTACTTTCTCTTCACATTCTACAGAAGTTCCAAGTATTCTAGGTTCTTGTGTACCAAATATTCAAGGTTTTCTCTATTTAAGCGTCTAAATTTTGCACATATCAATCTTATCACTTCAATCCTGAATAGTTATTTTTAAATCCTCTCAAAGAACTATCTAAGGATTATCATCTTATTATGACTTCTTTTCTCTTGCAGGTGAAACACTTGTTTCCATCATTTTTGGCCTCAGAAATAATATTGAATTTCCATTGGATAACATCTATCTATAAGCAATATCTTTGGAGATAATCTCGAGCTAAATAGCATTTTTTAGAGTTTCATACGTCACAAAAACTTGCAACCTTGAACTTCAACTAATTTTGATTTTCTCCACATATCCATATTGGTAAAAGATTTTGTATAAATCATCCTGTAAATCATTCTTTCTAATTGAATCATATGCTCGACAAAATGTAGCGAAAAGAACACAATTAACTTCACTCATATTTTAAATTCATCCTAAGTTCCTCATAACTCCAAGCACACTTTGTCCAAATTCTTGACCTGCCAAAAAGCGAATATAAAACAAGAATTTGACTAAATTAACCTCATAATGAGAAAACACACCTAAAAATCTTAAGAGTCATTTTGAAAATATCAAGAACCAGTTTGGAGGTGGTTGAACCTGACAAGTCAAACTAGATCATATCAAACAGGTTCAAAACAATCAATAGAAGGCTTCAAAATTCCGAAACCCTCGAGCATTGGTCAATGCACGGGCTTCACATGCTAGCTTCTATTGAGCTTTCAACTACTGTTTTCTGATGGAGAATTCGTCTGGAGGCACTTGTTTTGGTCTGATGTAGGTGTCACTCGTCGTGGCTGAAAAGGAGGATATCTAGTGTTTGCAGGGGTGA